TCGTTTCTGGTCATTCACTTCACTGCCAACTTTTATTCATGGTAACTCCAGGCCCCCCAACTCTGTTTGATTAATATATACATGTGAATTTGTCCAGAGACCTTTCTTTCAGGCCTGAGGCTATACAGTCAGGGGAAACTAAGGCACAGAATACACAAAAAAACATCAAACACAAATGTTCACAAGTACAAGTTATAGTAAGATTCATTAAGTACTGGACTGGATTCATAATCTACTGCTTTCCATTCTAGGAAGTAGTTATGCTTGAGAAAGCACTTTATACAGGATTTGCAACTTAAATACATTTCATAGTAAGATGAGTAAGAGACGTTTCCAGGTATTTTTGGAATTCAGCCCATAGTAAAAGACACATTTCACATTACACACCCACATCCCACTGAAAAATTAAAACAAAAACTGAACAAAATTTGCCATGTGCATGAAAACATGTCTGAAACCTCAGCATTCTAATGGCTAAGGCAGAAAGATCACCAAAAATTTTTATTGGTGCTATACAGTGCTCTGTGCTATATAGTAAGTTCAAGGCCAGTCTGAACTACACAGCGAGAGCTTGTGCTCATAACAAAAAAAGAACAGAAGAAACAAACAAACAAAAAAGTCTACCCAAAAAATGTACACATACTTCAGGAAAAGAAAAATACTATGATGTTTTTTCAACAGATGGTGCTACCCTTGTACGGGGTACCGAAGAAGATATCGTGTATTGCAGAAAACCCACTTTCCTGCTGGCTGTTAGTGAAGAAATTGAAAATACATGTGCAGCCATCTCAATGACCAAAGTTAACCAAGCAGTAATTCACGACAACTAATAAATGTCTAGAAGCTCATGGCCATCACTTTGAGCACCTCTCGTAATTGTAGAGGCCAAAGATAACTAGTATTAACCCATGATATTTCAATAAATTTAGTATTAAAATATTTATATAACTTTTTCTCTTCTGGACAAGAATATTGATTCTCCAAAGAATCACAATCTGATGCAATTTAAGTTCAGAATTTACTCTGCCTGCAATACATTTGAGTTAGAATTTTTTTTTTCTGTCTTTTTTCCTTTTTATCAGTACCGGGGATTGAACTCACGACTGCCTGCTTGCAAGGCAGGTGCATATGCCACTGAGCTAAATCCCCAGCCCCTTGAGTTAGAATTTAACATGCAGTATTCCACAGACTTGAAACATCAGTGATAGGTATAATCATACACATACCACGAGTGGTTCAAGCCTCCCAGCAAGAAGATGTATGAATTACAGCTGTATCATGAACGTGCTAATGGCCAGGAACTACCTCATCCACCTCCACATGTCACAGTACTTGATGGTAAGCTCACTAAGTGTCTCTCAAGGTGTTGGCCACTTTCTGACTTGGACTGACACTTTGCTTTTTAAACAGACCCTGTGGATTCTGTGGCAAATTGTTACCTAGCATAAGATTTGGTCCCTATATCGGACCATATAAAATATTCATAGATTTACAGCCATAAAGCAATTTTTGGAGAAAAAGTTTATGACTTTGCTACTAGAAATATTCTTTTTTTTTTTTTTTTTTTGGTCTTTTTCCTTTTTATTGGTACCGGGGATCGAACTCACGACTGCCTGCTTTCAAGGTAGGCGCTTATGCCGCTGAACCAAACCCCCAGCCCCTAGAAATATTCTTACATCAAAAAATTTAAAACATAAATCTTAAAAAATACTACAATAACACAGAAAGTCAGAGTGAAACAGCATGCTTGCAGTGCACATTTCTAGTAAAGCACTTGACAGATACAGAATGTGTGAAGAACTGTTTATTTCTGGGCCAAAACTAGATACCTAGTTCAGAAAACACAAAAAAACAGAATAAAACAAACAAAAAAAATAACAGTAACAAAAAAAGAAAAACAACTAAAAATTCAACTAGCATCTCACAAAAGAGAAGACCATCCATCAACTGACAAATAAATATATAAAGACAGCTGACAGTATTGCTCAGTGGTATGCCACTTGAGAAGTATATGTGAGGCTTTGGGTTGGATTCCCCACTTCACAAAACCAAAACTAAAGTATATACGAACATATGTACAAATGGCACTAACTAGCCAGGCATGGTGGCACACGCCTGTAATCACAGCACTTGGGAGGCTGAAGCAGGAAGAGCATTTCGACTTCGAGACCAATGTGGGCTACAAAGTGAGCTCAAGTTCAGCCTTAACTACACAGTAAGACCCTGTCTCAAAAAGGCAAAAAGCAAAACAAAAAATATTCTACAAGAATGCTCTGTCAGTACCAGCTGGAGCACAACTCTGGTAATTACCACCCCAGAGAAATGGATAGAATGCTTACACAAAGTAGGCATGCCAAAGTTTTGGGGGCATCAGTAATGTTTCATTTTTGTTTCACTTATGGATGTTGGTAGTAACTACATGATGTGTTTCTTTTGTGATAATTCACTGACCTATATAATTTGGTATCTGCCCTGGTTTTATTTTGATCAATACAATAATAATAATAAATTCATTTATTAAACAAATGGTGGAGAGTGGCAGAAAGGATCATACAAGAATATTACAAAACCCAGAAATATGTTAATTGTAGTTCTAGTTTCATGGATGTGTACATATATCTCAAATATATGCAAATTATGATGTCAATTATACCTCAATAAAACTGTAAGAAAAAAGTAGGATGCATATAAACGTGTAGTTATAAAGAAAACATACAGTCTTAAATAGATAAAAGAGACCAGCAACCCACTAGCTAATCATTAGTCTCAATAGTTTAGAAAAGAACAAATTTTATAAAAGGAGAGTAGAGTCTAAAAAAGTGTAATTTCACTATATTGAAAATGAACATAGAGCAGCAATGACTTTTTTTTTTGTCTTTTTCGTTTTTATCGGTACCGGGGATCGAACTCATGACTGCCTGCTTGCAAGGCAGGCACTTATGCTGCTGAGCTAAATCCCCAGCCCCAGCAATGACTTTTTTTGAAAGTGTAATGACAGAGTGCTGGTCAATTTGATAATGAAGAATTATATTTTAATTATGTACTATGTAACTAACATATATAGGTAAACATACACTCACGTCTCAGTCATGGGGTATATTCTAGCAAAGGCATCATTGGGTGATTCTTTCATTGTATAAGTATCAGAATGTACTTATATAAACTTGGATGTCACAGTCTACTACATACATAGGCTATATGTTATAGACACTGTCTTCTAAGAATCCATCATTGACCAAAACATCACTAGACAGCACAGGACAATGTTATAAATCAGCAAAAACACAAGTAAATAGACCAGGTGAACCAAAAACACAAAACTTGGGAAGACCATAGCTTTTCAGATATTTAAAATTTACAGAGATTGCACTGCATAGGAGTAGGAAAACGACTCCTTTTGAATGAAAGTTGCTGAGAAAACATGGTATCTATGTGTCAAAAAACGCTCCCGAACCATTTCTGTGTATCACATAATATATCACTTTCAGAGGTCAGAAATAATATAAAAGCAAAACTATAATAGTCGTTTTAGGAAAGGAACTTACTTCTTTTGAAATTTACACAAAACAACATTAAATGATAAAATATGCATAAAGTTGGACCACATTAAAATAAAAATTCTATTCATCCAAAGCAATCATAAAAAGGTGCAGAAACATGGCAGACTGGGAGAAAATTTTGCCTCACAGATTACTAAATACTTTAAGAACGGAACAGACAGACTCCAGAAGGAAAGTAGGCAAGATCAAAACCTAAAAATGGCTCAAATTCTTCTGTAGTGGTGAAGGCCTGGAATTCCAGCACTTGGGAGACTGAGGCAGGAAGACTGTGGTAAATTCAACGCCAATGTGGGCTACAAAGTGAGCTCAAGGGCAGCCTCAACTACACAGAGAAACCCTGTCTCAAAAAGAGAAAATAAATAAAATACAAATAGATGTACATATATAAAGAGATACTTAAATTAGGCAAGAAACTTTTGAATTAAAGAGTAACAAGGGTTATCATCACCAGACACTAAGGTATACTATAAAAGTATGTATACTAAAATACCACCAAGGAATGACGACAGGAAGGAAATCTTCGTATGAATCCATATGAATGTAAGAACAGTATTGTTCAGAGCAATAGAAAGGAGAATACAAAATCCGACCACAACAAGAATACCTTCCTAAACAACACAAAATGTAGAGGTTGGAGCTGCAGGCATAGCTCAGTGATATAGTGTGTGCCCACAAAGTTTAAGGCCCTAGGTACAATCCTCATCGCCAAAATAAAGATAAAAAATAAGTGCCGAAAGCTGAATTTTAAGGAATTTGTTGCCAAATCTAGGAAAAGCCTGGCTGGTGGGGGCAAGGCTCCAGCTTTGAGATCCTGCTATCCTATGTATTTATTTATTTTATTTTTTTAATGAACTATCCAATGTGATATCCTATGTATTTATAAAACTCAGAGGAGCTGGGAACGGTGGAGCAAAGCTGTAAGCCCAGCACCAGGTACACTGAAGGCAAGAGGATCACTTTTGCAAATTCGAAGCCAGCCGGGGCTACACAGTGAGATCAAGGCGAGGCTGAACTATACAGTACAGTAGCAAGACCCTATCTCAAAAAATAAAGGAAGCTGAGGAAAATGAGCGATCCCAGAGAGGGAAGGTGGGTTTGGGGACTCTATGAACTACAGTTCCTTAGACACAGTAACCCCAGTAAAGGAGCAGGTATTTTCCCGTGAGGATCCACCAGATCGTCATCCGAAAATCTGGAGTAATGAGGGATCGAAGCATATCTCTGCCCAGAAAACACTCCTCCAGGGACAGATGTCACCCCACAGATTCCGGACAGGACTCTCAGAGTGCCAACTGAGATCCAGCCTCCACCCCGCAACTGGAGGGGAAAAGACTGCCCTGGAAGAACTGGGCCCTGCAGACGCCAGCAGCGGCCACCGCGAGGTACCGGGATTCCACACGGCCTCCCTCCCCAGTCGCAGACCCCGAGCCACATATTCACCATTTCGGGTCCCAGGGTTCCAGCGATCTGCCTGTGTATCTCCCACGCCTAAAGATCATAGGGTGACCGAAGATTAAGCCTAGTCACGTGGGCCGGTAGAGCCAAACAGAGGACGCAAAATACTTTGCCAAAATGGTGGGCGCCAGATACACAGGCCTAAGAAACTGCGAAAGCCCGCCCATCTGCTCTGTCTGTGAGTCTGATTGGATAGTTCGCAACCGACCGTCAGACGAGTCGAGTCCCGCCCCGCGGGCCTGAATGACATTGGATGTCACCAACTGGGCTGAGTAAAGCCGCAAAGGGCGGTTCTTGTAGTGTAGCTAGAACTCTGGGGCTGACGAGACCGCTCCTCTCCACCTGTTTGAGCTCGGTGGTATTTTAGGGCCCTTCACGTGTAACTTCAAACTGTAACACATGGGGTCCTGTTTTTCTTGTTTTTAGGGCCTTTTTTCTTTCCTCTCATTCCAGCACCATTTTTCTGCTCTTGAGCTTTCAATAAATATAGTTGCTGATTTCGTTCATCACTGATGTACGCTTTAAAATTCTTTGCTTGTTGGACTCAAGAACTCGCGATTCGTCAGATCTACAGTTACATGCAGATTATTTTCCTTCCTAATTGTGTTAGGAATTGCACCCCAAAACTGTGACTAAATCTATTTTCAAATCAGGACTTCCTCTAGGTAGACGGACTTACAGCTAAGGGGACATTTGCTTTTAACCTGTAGGTAAGGTCCTATCAATTTATCAGTCATATATGTGTGTGTATTGCTCACAAATGAAAGAGTAATGATAGTTATTTTTAAATTTCATTTAAATTTATCTGGCCTTGTGAAAGGTAGTTTAAGATTTTAAATGGAAACAATCACTAAAGCAACGTCCAATGCAAATAAATTGTAATGTGAAGTGTAATTTTTAGTTTTCTAGTAACTTATACTTTTTTTTTTTGAGACGCGGTCTTACTATGTAGTTCAGGCTGGAGTTGAACTCACTTTGTAGCCCAGGATGGCCTCACACTCATGGAGATCCTCCTACTTTAGCATCTCCAGTACTGGGATTACAGGCGTATACTTCCCGTTTCCTCAATTTTAATAAGTCACGCTTTTTAAAAAATTAAAGAGACTTATTTATTGTAAGACTTTAACTCCATGTACAAAATATTATTGTAAAATATGATACATATATATTTGGGGGTAGTACTTTTTTTTTTTTTTTTTTTTTGTCTTTTTGAGACAGGGTCTCTATGCAGTTCAGGCTGGCCTTGAACTCACTTTGTAGCCCAAGCTGGTCTCAAACTCGCAACGATCCTCCTGCCTCAGCCTGGGATTACAGGCGTGAGCCACCACACCTGCCTGGGGGTAGTACATCTTTAAAACTGCCTATTGAAAGCCTACAAGCACATCTCACTTCAATACAGCCACATTCCATTTTGGAAAGTTATGACTCCACCCAACTCAGCCAGGAAAAGTCCTTGAACGTCAACCATCGACGCAAAAGATGACACAACACATTTAGTTACCAATATTTTGCCTTAGGCACAAGAAGCTTAGTCAATATTTTATAGTTTTATTTTGTTCTACAAAATACCCCTAGACATTTAATTTTCCATCTGCTTACTAGAAGACATTGTAAAATGTTTTCCTCACAAAAGAAAACTAGAGCGTAGGGTGTATATTGACAATTCTCCAAACTTAACATTAAAAGAAAAAAATGGCAAAAACATTACTGAGTGGGGCTGGAGATTTAGCTCAGCGCCATAAGCGCCTGCCTTGCAAGCACATGACTTGAGTTCGATCCCCGGTACCGATAAAAAAACAAAACATTATTGAGCATTGCACCAAAAAGTATACACAGATAACAAGCGTGAGAAAAATATATTGAAATCAGTAGGTATTAGAGAAATGTAAGTTAAAACCACAATGAGACGCGGATGTTGATTTAACAGCATGACCAAATAAAAAGGAGGGGGCTAGGGTTGTGGCTTAGTTGTAGAGTTCTTGCCTTGCATGTACAAGGCTCTGGGTTTGATCCCTAGCATTACAATAAATAAAAATAAAGTGTTGCAATCTAGTTCTAACCAATGCGCCTCCTTTCTGTTCTGTATGTGCCGTTTCAAGAGATTAAAATTCCATCTCCAGTAAAGACTTAAGTTTCAGCTTTTTGTAAATCCCCCTCCCTTCCCCATTCTTTTTAGGTTAAGTCTCCATTTCCCATAAAAGCTTTAAGTCTCAGTTTCTTGTAATCCCTCCACCCCCTTCAGCCTATCTGTAATACAATGTGCTGTCCTGAAGAAACGTTTAACTACAAAGAAGTTACAGGAGATACCAAGAAGCCCAGATGCTATCAAACTGGGTCAAAGTTTGCAACATTTCTGTGGTTTTTCGGCTTTAAAACCCAACCCTTTTAGCTGTAAGGTGCGCAGTCTCCATATTGGCTCCTGGAGGCTGTGTCGCCAGGCCTGGCCTAAAATAAAGCCTTTGCTCCCCAAATTTTAATTTCTTGCTTCCTTGGATTTTATTCTAGAGTCTGAGCTATCACAAAACTTGCAATTTCTTTTTCTTTTTCTTTTCTTTTCTTTCTTTTTTTTTTTTTTTTGTCCTGGGGATTGAACTCACAACCTTGCACTTACCAGACAAGCACTTGAGCCACTGCGCTAAATCCCCAACCCCTTCTATTTTAAATATATACCTGATTAATTAAAATAACTATGATAAGATAAAGTCTTATTTCTATAAAATAGGTAAACAAAATTTTTCACAATATAAGTTTAACTTGTTAGACTTATAAATGTTACTGGATCACTCACATATGTTTTGTTTCTAATTACCTGTCCTTAGTTGATGTAAGGTAACAAAATAAAACACTAATTAAAATATTAAAATTGTAAAAACTGTTCAAATTATTCATGAAAGTTTGTAAATAAGCTATATCTTACAGTATTCATAAATATAATTATTAGTGCTTGCCTGATGCACATACAATGACAAAACTAGTGTGCTATATTCAAAAGCAAAATGAACTAGGTATATAGGGCAGCAGCATAAGCACCTACCTGGCAAGTATAAGTCCTGAGTTTGATTGCTGGTACCAAAACCAAAAATCATGGTGAATAAATAATTTATTGTAATTTTAATTAATTCAATTTTATTAATCTTTAATTTTTTGCACATGTCTGAATACGCAGACACACACACAAAATGCATAAATAAGAGTCAGGAAAAATTAATCTCTGCTGTATTTTGGCAAATGTTATCTCAGGGAAAGTTCTGAAAAATAAGATGAAGTTAAAGGTAAATCAATCCACACTAGTATAGGTAGGTAGAGAAATAAAAGAGTAGATAGCATAGAAAGGACAGGTGAAGAATCAATTTTACAAAGAAAGATAACTAAGAAACATACTAAAATTTACAGTGGTCTTTGTATTATAAGGTAAAATTCTGAAATGAGATAAATTTAAAAAAGAATCTGATGAAATTTAAATTTTGAAGAGTTAAAGAAACAAGCCAAATATCATGGAAAAGGTTCAAACAACTAAAGTATAACACATGCTCATAAACTACAAACAGAATAGACTTCTTTTTTTTTTGTATTTTTACCCGTAACAGGGATCGAACTCACAACTGCCTGCTTGCAAGAAGGCAGGCGCTTATGCCACTGAGTTAAATCCCCAGCCCCAGAATAGACTTCTTGATAATTAAGTCATTGAGATGAAAAGCATAAAGAGTGAATCCAGATAAAAGGAAAATGGTTAAAAGACTAAATTAGTAGTTGTGGCTAGGGGTTTAGCTCAGTAGCATAAGTGCCTGCTTGGCAAATGCAAGATTATGAGTTCAATGTCTGGTACCAAATAAATTAATAGTTGGACATGTGTACAGCAAAGGATATAAAATATTTGCATTTTTGAGAATTCTCAATTAGTCAACACTACTTAGGAAACAGCAAAAATTGCAATATATAAAGGAATGTTTTAAATAGAGTGTAATTTTTTGTCAGTTTATATTTCTCCACTAGCAAAACCTTTTCCAGTATTTATTTTTTAAAGTTTCATTTTCAGTACTTAGTCATCTATTACATATTACTTTTAGCTAAATGCATTAACTTTTTTAGGTATTTAAAAATGTGTAATTTCGCGTGATTTTATTTAACCAGGTTTTTATGAAGCATACATTTAAAATCTTCTTAAAATATTTTTTCAACTTCAAAATGAAAACTGTATCCTATGTCATTTTTCCTAATGTTTTAAAATTGTCTTTTTCATATTTAAGCTTTTAATGCTCTTCCTCAACTGATTTTTCTTTGTGATGAGAAAAAGTGCAATAAAAATTGTCTTATATTATTTTGATTATTCTATAAGGATAATTGTGTCTTCATTAGAATATGAGATTTTTTAATCTCCTGTGTTTTTGCTACAACTTACTGTCTCACTGAATTGTCTAGGATTACCATTCAATAAAAAATAAAATGGTAAAGTGTTTATATCTTTTAGTGCTCTTAATTTTTGAAACAATGCTTTTCAAATTCTGGAGATTAGTTAAATTAAATATAATTTCACTGGGTTTGAAGTAGTTATCCATTAATCAATGTAAAGCAGTTCTCTGTTAGGGTTTTCTGGCACAATACAGAAGCAAAAGGAAAGGGTCAGTAGCCTTTACCGAGACGTGGTGAGGAGTTCAAAACCCGTGGAGGTTTGGCTTTTTCCTCCAACTGGATAGAGTGGACAGCAGGTTGTATGACCTCTGATTGAAAGCAGTGCATGGGGCGGGCATTGATGATGTGTGAGGAACTGACTGGAATTTTCTTTGCATGCACAGGAAAAGAAGTTATAATCAGGGTTTAGGGGAAGAAGAGGGAAGTGATCGTCAGGGTAATGTTGTTGCTTTGGCCGTCCACCATGTTAGACCACTGACATAATGTACAGTAATTTATACTAGGGCATGAACCTTTCACTCTAGTTTTGGATTATTGTTTTATGATTAATTAGCATTTATTGAGTATACTTCTGATTTTATTAAAAGGAATAGACTTGCTAAGAGCAAACATGTATATCTTATATGCCCCGGATAAAAATCTATCATTATATTCTATATTTGTAATAGCTGTATTGAATTCATCAAATTTTTTTCTGAACTGTTTCAGCTATGTTCACATTTCAGTTTGAACTCTGATTTTTTTCTGTGTA